GCGATAGTCTGAATTGACAATTGTTCAATTAGTCCACAAAGATTTACAGAAGTTAACAAAATCCAGATAAATGTATGTCTCCCTCCGTGTATATGTCTAATTGTTCGGCAGAAACAATCATAAAATCAAGCGAAGAAAATTGCATAAATGAGGAACAAAAAATCAAGACAATTGCCAGTTGACCCACTATAGCTGCAAAGCACGTACCATACAATTCCCCTCTGTATGTCTACAATCACTTATCACATGCCCTACAAATGCTTGACTCGGGGATTCACCGATCAAACAGAACGCGCCTATCTGATGTTACTCCACAACACCTTTTCCCATTTTCCCAGTGGTACACCGCCTCGACCGAGCCACTATCACCGATCGCCTAGGAACTATATCACAAACCCACTAGATCGAATAATTGAAAATAATTTCCCGTGGGAACCTCCACACCGCGCACACGGTATGGAAATCCCATCAAAGCCGAAAAATAGAAGTTCGATGAAACATGATACTGTCGGAATTTGCATACAACTCCACAGAGTTGGAGAATCTCTTTTTATATTTTTTTGTAACAAATTCGTGACTTTCAGATGGAGAAAAAAACAGACTCGGAAAGATACCCCCATCAAAAAATATATAAAAAATATATATAATATGGGCCAATTCCATGTATTTTTCAAATTTATAAAGAATATATAAAAAATTATATAACATATATGTTTTCCATATTTTTTGGGCCAATTTAAAATATTTTTTTATATATTTTTCAAAATATAAATTTTTCCGTGTGGGTATTCGTCTCATACAATTTATAATAGATTAATATGAAGGAATTATATCATTTTTAAAATATTCCAACAATTTATTCCGAAATGGCGCATGAGAAAAATTCAAGAGTTTTTATGCTTTGAGGATTTTCGACTGCTCGAACTCTAATTTCGGTTCATTCCATGGGCCGTTAGACAAATATTGTTTTTCTTCTCTTATCGCGAACTTAAAAATAATTAATACACTGAATAGAATGATTATATCATTTTTTTACAAATTTTTCAAATTGTTCATTTTAGCCATTTTTCAACATTTCAACATTTTTTTCTCGATAACTAGACGTGCTAGAAAAGCTTTCTCAAAAGAAATTTAAAATCAGCATTAAAATATCTATAAGATGGGGTCGGTTTCGTTTTAAATGTCGAATACCTACGAATTTTGTCAAACCGTGCAGTTAATGAATATTTCACTTGAAAGGCGTTAGTCGGCTTAAACAAGGCTGCTCAAATATGCATTTGTTAATTATTAACGAATGAAAATTTGGTGAGGCCGAATAGACTCTAGCCTCCAACCAAATCCATTTCTTAACACTAACAAATCCTTTCTATCAGCGCAGTGGAACCCTCTAAAAACATTTCTGCTGCTTCATTGGGTCCTTCCTATTTACTCTCTTCAGACGAAACCTCCTTGATTTATTTACACAGGTGTTGAAAATTTTGGATTGAAATTTCCCCTGCACTTTTTGGAATTTTTTACCAAATTATCCCCTGTTCCCTCAATGAACCACTCGTGGGGCCATCAACCAAATGAATCTTTTGTTCGAACAAATTACTGGGGTTCTAAAAAAAATCCTCGCAATCTCTCATTCTCTACTTCATCTTAACCAAGCACCCATCTTCCGCTGACTCACCCCACATGAAACCCCCACCAGATTGCTCATTCGCAAAGAAAAGGAACACAAAGTGACTAGTAACATCGAGAAGAACCCTTGTAGACAAGAGTTGTACAGACTGAATGCTGGATGATGAATGCAAAGCGTAGACGATAAAGCTTTTTCCCATCCCCAGCATTATCGCCCCAGGAATGTACACGTGTGCAGAAAAAAAAAGTCACAAAAGACCCCTCAGATGTTGAGTAAAAAACTTCACCGGAAGAATTTTCTCCCTCGAAAAGAAGAGAAATGTTGCATCGGCCCATCGAGGCGTTGATTAATCATCCACTCAGCGTGTGTCTCCACCAATTTTATTTATCCATTTTTCATGTTCCAGGTGAGGGGGTCGTGGTTTCGCCTGGTGCGCAGGATGCTTGGCGCCACCAGATAAACAACAGCCAAGTTGACGATGAGGATAACACGAATTATCTAAGTTTTTGCCGGCCCCAACTGCGTGATCTATCGGACAATAACAAACGTCGGCCACCACCACCACCACCGATACCGGCCAAATACAAAATCAATGCACGGGACATAAGCAAATACTTCAATTATCCGAATAAGGAGAATAGTCCTGGTTATGTAGTTGTGGATGGGAAGGTCGATACGAATGCGGATAAGATGGGGTCGAATCTCAGTAGGCACAGTGAGAAAGGCCTCACTGGACGCAGGACACAGTCCTCCGGTAATCTCTGTGATCCAAAGGGAAAGCTCAATCACGTTGGAAAGATACTTGTGCCATGCTCCAGTGGTCCACAGGAGAGGTAAGCTCGGATAAATCATGAGGTCTTGATTTTTTATTTCTTTTCTCTGGATTTAGCCCCTCTATCGGCTCAGCGATGTTCTGAACTAACAGTTAAGATCACTCGGGTAATTGATGATTAATATCATTTGTCGAAAATTTTATGTATTGAAGATCAGTTGATGGGGGTTCAAATTTGATTTCTTTAGGGATATCCAAGTACTTTGGCTATTTTTTCTCCAGTGAAATGCTTTTTTACTTTTCGAATATCAGACCCCCCTAATGCCGCCCCCTAGACACCGCTTCTGCGCCCCCTATCACCCACCCCCCCTTGACGGGACTTCGTGATAAAAAATAGATGAAGTCATTTTTCCGATAGCCTCGGATTGTGAGTCGTGTGCAGTTTGCAGCGCTCGGCGTCGGTAAGTCTGGGACTCGGCTCGTCTTCGGTTATAAAATTACAATAAAAATTCAGTAGATTTTTTGATGAAAGTGCTAGACATAAAATGTTCTTTTTTCAGTTTTTTTCTTTATTGTATATTTGGTTTTTCGTCGGTGGGGGGGCTTCGCCCCTCAACCCCCCCACCGGAGGCTGCGCCCTCTGGACCCCGCTTCTGCGCTCCCTTCCACCCCCCCTCTCTCTCTGGCGGGACGTCGTGATAAAAAATAGATCATGTCATTTTTCCGATAGCCTCGAATTGTGAGTCGTGCGCAGTTTTCAGCACTCGGGGTTTGTAAGCCTGGGACTCGGCTCGCCTTCGGCTATAGAGTTACCATAAAAATTCTGTAGATTTTTTTATGAAAGTGCTAGATTTTTCTTTTGGTTTTATCTTGATAAAATGTACAAATTGTTTTCTTTCTTCTGTTTTTTTCTTTACTGTGTATTTGGTTTTTTTGTCAGTGGGGGGGCTTAACCCCCCCGCAGCGGGGGCTCGGCCCCCGGGACGCCGTTTCTGCGCTCCCACTCACCCTCGTTGGCGGGACTTCATGATAAAAAATAGATTATACCATTTTTCCGATAGCCTTGGATTTTGAGTCGTGTGCAGTTGTGAGTCTTGAACTCAGCTCGCCTTCGGCTATAAAGTTACAATAGAAATTCAGTAGATTTTGTCATGAAAGTGCTAGTTTTTTTTTATCTTGATAAACTGTACAAATTGTTTTCTTTTTTCTGTTTTTTTCTTTGTTGTGTATTTGGTGTTGCGTCAGTGGGGGGGGGGGGGGG